TTTTTAAATAGTGAAACAACTGTGTCAAAACGCTCTACTTATTATGACTGCTTCAGGAACCACAGGTTCTTGCCTTTAAATGCTTCATTTTGAGAGGACAAAATTTTTTGCAGCTTCGTCGCGCTAGTCAGTCGACCGAAATTCACGTCTGCTATAGGAGGAATGGCTGGTGAGCAGTGACTCTGTGGACGGGAAAATCGAACCACCATTGTCGTACCGAAGCCTTCGAGAACCATTTAGCAGCTTGGCTCAAAGTCACCCCCAAAGGTGTCTGAACTGTAGGTGCACCATATACATTTTCACTTGCACTTGATGAAAGACTCGAGTGACAGTTTGAAACTTCTGCAAAATGTGATGTTCAGTTCAGAAATCGCCCTTTCACTCTGTTTAGACAAGTACCTGGGTCTAACAAATGTGAAACCATTCAACATGTGTGACTTACATATTGTATATAGTAGGACTCGAAGTAGAACCCTCTACAAATTTCCTTCAGGGATTTATTAACTTTAGCACGTACTGTACGACTAAAACGTTTTTGGAGAAAATGTTTAAAACGAAAGTTAGTCGAAACAGTAAGCAGGCACTTATGCATTCTCTTGCGCGAACTGGTCTGTAAATTTTCAATTCAGAAACTGCATATAATCTGACATTTTCAAGATGTAAGTAAACATCAAAATAACCCTATGGGGTATTTATCACGCGTTAGCATAACATGTACTACAACAAAGTGGAGTATGCAGTCAGATTTACGCATTTAAAAAGTAAAATAGTTGACGAAACAAAGGGTTACGTCAAATTGATACTCATTAACTGGAAAAGGATATCTTAATTTTTTAATCAAATCAAAGCCACTCGGAAGGCATCTTGCATAATTTTATCTCAAAGATGAATTCCGATAACTTAAGAGGCTAGAAATCGACCTTTATTTTCCACAGAAACCTTCTTCTTGTACGAACAGAGCAGAAATATCAAACCAAGTTATGCGATTATGGATAATTTTGGATTAACATTCAGAAACGATGTCCGTTCGAACTTCTTACCTGCTGTATTTTTACAGAAACACGCTGGTGGCTTTTATAAGACGTCATCAAGCCTAATAGTTCTCTCATCACAGGAAGTGACGATCATTAATGTTTCATTACGTGGGTTTCGCAGCAACGTACGTTTGCACTCATTTACGGGAAAGAGGTTTTAAACTGAATTTAGCTCTCTTCGCCGATGTCATGTCAACCGTGTTTTAATGGCAGGGCAGAATCAGGGCAATCAGAGACTGGAATGGGAACAGTCGCCGAAAAGCTAATGAAACCCTCTACGTGCGTCGCTTACTACCCCAGCACTAAATCAACACGTCCCAAGACTTATTCGCGGTTTTTTCACAACCTCAACCAGGAGGGCTACAAAAAACACATAGTGGGATGCCATAGTCACCCTTCCCGAAATCCTGAATAAGACCCTGTTATCCCGTCAGTTGTCCAGCTTCCAATTCACGGTTGTTGGCGTCCCGTGTTTGTTTTGAGTGAAGAGTGCGTTGTTTTATCAGGCTGATAGATTCCTCATAAATATTGGTCTCGTCCTCTTAACTCTTTCTTTTACTTACGGACTGCCCAATGTTTTTGTTGGCCAGTGGTGTGACTGTGTGTATTGGCTGACAAGTTATAAAGTCCCCGTCTAACACCTGCCACGCCCGCGAATCGATCTGGTGAAGGACCCCAAGCACACACGATCAGCCAAAGGCGTCTGTCTTACGGGATTGATGGTAATATACGGCAAAAGATGAGGACTATTTGATTTAGTGTACCTGAGCCACAAGTTCAACGAGGCTCGCATTCTGGTCAACCTGAGGGTTGGTTGATAATCAACTGTTTAAAATAATTTCCAATGACGTCAATCAGACAACAACATTCAGCAACCTGTAACCGTGTGACGCTATTCATTCATCAATAGACGCAAGCTGACTGCGTGTTCAAGGGAACGCTGACTACTATTAATGGGGCGGTTTTGAGGTAGGAGGAAGGCAACTATTACAAAAATCGTCAATTAATTGTGCGAGTTAGTGCAATAAGTATGCTTTAAGCAGTGGCCTACTAATGCGCAGGAAACGTTAAAGGTTTTAACAAATGATATCAACTAATGAGTTCCTTTTTTCTTGCCATCTAAATCATATTTCGATTAAAAGAATACGATGGAGTCTCAAAATTTCGTTAAACGATAGAAAATATTTCCACTTTAGGTGTCAAATCGAGATTTCTCAACCATAACGTGTAAGTTCCGTAAATCAGAATGAAATGAAACATGGCAAGAAGAACCCAGGCTTTTTAGGTAAGATCGGGATATCTTTCAGTGTCAGGATGCATACTAATTTTGAGCGGACAATCATCAGGTCTTTATATTATCAAGAATTTTTGCCAATTCATATTCCGTAGCCCCTTTTAAGGCGATTGAATAAAAAGCAGTCCCCACAAGTCAACAATGAACGTACACTCTTGGTAACCGTTCTTCAAAAAATTAATTTCCTTGTCAGAAAGTTGATAAAATATACCTATTATATTATTATACATATACAGAATAAATAGTGCTCTTCTAATTATATGAATAATTCTGAAAACGCCAATTTTTTGCTCAAAGGAATTACGTCATTACAAGTGGAATTATATGAGGCAATGATAAATAATAGGCACCATTTCAAATGAAACTGAAACATTTCGGATTTCGAAGGTCCCATGACGAGCTTGGTTTCCGAGGAGTTTTCGCGAACATCATGCCCTAGGAGGCTTAATCTACTAACCATCACTTTCCATGCCGACTGAAATAATCAGCCAAGTTTTGATAGTTTGGAACGCTGTCCCATTTAAACTACTTAAACATCAACGTCCTTTGCTTCATATTCGTGTCCTTAAAAAAGTCAAACTTTTGGCGTTAAACGTAAAAAGGCTAAACAAAATTGTCCTGCTCATACACTGAGTCTGTACTTGTTTACTCTGGTTCTTGAGTAGGTCATACGCCAATATTTGTACCAAAATCATAGGCGTAAACGAGCAAAAATGGCAGGCTCTATTGATACCACCAAATTTTGCGACTACTTATCAACTATTCCGAAAGCTTAACAAGATGCATAACGGGTATTTAATATACCGCAGACCCGACGTGTTCAAGAAATCAATGCAAAAGCAGCAGAACTGTGGTGTAGAGCACATAGTCTAGTCAATAATAAGAGGGCATCTAAAATGTAATAGGAAAAGAAAAGGTGACAGTACTGTACAAATCGGTGCGTAAATCAAGAGAGTGGAGATGACCAGAACCAAATTAGTTTTTCATCCGTTTAATTCGTCTATGCAGGTGAGGTTTTATCCTCCCTATGTAAGCTACTTGAAAGTAGCGTAGTGCTCCAGCTGTTATAACATAAGTGGGGATACGGAAGGTTTTTAGTATCATTTGAACTAAATTGGACAAAAATTCATCTATGCGAGACGCCTTCATTTTGGAACGTCAGGTTCCTTTAATCAGGCGTTCTGTGCTTTACCAGAATACGTAGAAAAATTACTATTTATACTTCATAAATCTTATGCTTGTACAAAGCAACTGAAACTCGCCTTGCACTTCCTCCTTTTTAACCGCCTCCTGGAATTTACCATTTCGTAATGATCATTTTGATTAAAAAAGGGTAAGTTAGCTCGTTTTATTCTGAGGTTTGGCATTTCATTGCGGAAAAAGTGACGAAGCTACTAGTTGCAAAAAGGCAATCCCCTAAGAATAAGAATATCTTGAATATGATTAGGCAATGACTGTGAAACACCACTGACAGGCCTTAGTGACTCTCAGCTCATATAATCAGCTCCATTGAAACTGACACAATTAAGAGAGCAAAAAGTGTCCTACCAATTCACAAATCATGTCTAGAAGTTGGGTTGATTGTGGACTTAAGTATACTGCACGAGAGCAAAATGCAGCTAGTCCATTTGAGTACTTGATTCAATGGCATTTAGAACTGGAAAAAATCCTCTACCCTTTTATTGCCAAACATCTTTTATATATTGTGCATTCTGTCGACCCAAAAAGGGTTGTTCAACTCACTGATCATGCACTAGTAATTTAGGTACTGCTCTAGACGCACATGGACTAATCTCAAGGATAGAACCTGACATTGGCAAGTGATATGAGCAAATGACAAATTCAAATATCTAGTCTTTTAATTTACACACTCCTTCAGACAGCACCGTGCATGAGTCCTTTTCTTATTGCGTTTTTAGGTGGCCTCATAATACTGTTGTACTGTGTTCCAAACCATGACACCGCTGTTTCCCCAATGACTTCCGGAATACGTCTCAGTTGCTGTACATTAAATAGTCTCTATTTACTTGGCCAAGCATCGTGAACATCGTATAAGCAATCGCAAAATTCGTTCGTTCAAGTACGTCCTGCTAGCTAGGCTTGTTTTAACTTCACAATCGGCCAGAATGCCTTAAATCGGGCTCAATGTCACCCGCCCAATGCCCAAACTCTAGGTCTCCTATGCCAGGGCTACATAAGAGAATGCGAGGATTTCGTCGAAACCAAAGGCGGTAAAAAGTTATAGCGGGTAACTTTTACTAATCGAAGTTTGATGTTTCAAGGAAATAGGTGTTACCCTGCAGAGCTGACTGTTATGATATGGAATTCATTTTTGGTCTGAGGCGCTGGCCCTAAATCATTACAAAATTCAATTGCCGAAAATTAATTTACCCTTTCTTAGTTCAAATTAATCTCACATTCTATTTTTAAATTTTAAAGAGAATCCTCTATGAGGTTACTGAAGTCATTTACTTGTTCGTTTCATATTTTCCTCGTTCGTTACACATTTGACCTCCGCATTTTTTTGCTTATTCCGTCCACTTCAAACCAATAACGCACACAATAACTTCCGTTTCCAGATTGCTTGTGAGTTAATAAAGGTGATCCATTAAGACATAATACACAGTAAGCAACAACAAAGCTTAGCAAACGTAATTTATTTTAGGAGATTGTTAGTGATATTTATACAGAACGATGGACAGATCCTTCCACATAGCAGTAAAATAGGAGTTTTTCTCATAAGGGAAGGAGCTAAAATTAAGAAAAACAACACAGTTAATATGGAGATTTTAAAAGTCAATATGGTAAAATCCGTACTCCCAATGCAATATTGCTACTTTGGGTTACAAAATACAAACGGATTGTACGCTTTAGATTGTTGCAAATAATGTGTAGGTAATGATATGCGGTTGACTGACAGAGTGGGCAAAAACGGCTGCTTAAAATCAGTTCTTAATCTATGGATGCCAACAAACATTTTCAAAAGTTATTCAACATATAGTTTCCACATTTCCGACTTCATGACTAGCCTGGAATGGGAGATAGGTTAACTCCAAAGGTTTAAGCGAAAAAACGTCATTCAGAATTACGGAACAAACAAAAACTACAACAAACCTCCCAAAGCTGGGACCAACGTGGCAATTCCAGGTTCCTTTCAAATCAGTATCACAAGCCTCCTTTATAAGTCGACAGAGGTTTTGTGGGTAATTAGCCTCCGATGGATTGTTTTGAATGCACTGCGTAACGATGCCAATTACTTTTTCTCTATATGTTGGGAGCATTTCTCCCCCAATATTTTTGAGTAATGTTTGATCCATTGGTTGGTCCATCCCAGAGGCAAGTTCGTCTTCCCTAACTTCTGTTTTTGGCACTGCTGCGACTGACAGGAAATTAAACCAAAGTAGGCTTTAAGGCCTTCCTTACCTCCAATCAGGTACGCGCACTTTAGATACCCGCCTGTGCACGCCCGACACGCCTGTGCAACTGTCTTTCATACACCCCTGAGGCATCACCCCCTTGGTCCCTGTCGTTTCCTTGTTGTCAAACTCATTAAGCAATGATTGGTATTCGCTCCGTTGTGCGGAAATAGACGCAGATCTTCTAACTGTATTGAGATTACCCCCGCAAACCTCCAGCTGGCAGAACTGTGATTTGCTAAAATTCGATTACGCAAATGACCAAAGAGGAAGTTAGGTAAAGCACTATAAACCCTTCCCCACACCTTAAAAGACCCATTTCTGTGGCAGAAGCCGCGCATCGGATCCTGGCGTTCGATATTACGACGTACTACGAATAACTTGGGCTAACAAGGGTGCTTTGGAATATTGTAGCCTCGAGTGACGGATTAGTGGTCGATACATTCAAGTTCATCAAACCCGAAAGAAGAAGCGACCATTAAAACTAACTCTCGTCTTTGATCAATTCCTTATTTTCTGTCATTGTTTTAATGTGAGTGACTGTCATCTAGCAACTAGCTATTAAGAAGTCTTTAAAAAACTTGTAATTTGTTTTCCTTTGTACAATCCACATAAACCGGAGAAGTATTACCCACAGTTACAAGCGAGGCCTAACTGGGCGGTTCAAACTTAATTGACGTCTACGGCGATTCATACCCAAACTGTCGGAACGCATAACTCGAGGAGTAAGTTTGAGCTTTATGTGGGTATTAAGTCAAACGTTCTGGTAAGTCATAAAGTACGGTAAAAACCAATATAGCCAGTAGTAATTTGCATGCTATCACCATCCGCCCGTAGGTCAACCATAGATAAAAATATTCAGTGCTTAAAACCGAAAACTATCGATTTGTCGACTTGCACGTTCTGCTGAAAGCCACTTAACGGTTGACGCACGACTGCCAGACAACGGCGATAGGCTTGAAATGGACACTCCAGTCTTTCTCCGCCTTACAAACGAGGCACCTCGATTATGAGCTCATCTCGATGCGGCTGCTTTTGGAGATCTAAAGCAAGACTTCAACACCTAACAGAGTACCCTCAGTTCAATCTGCGCGCAAGAGAGATCGACAACTTTAACCCCAGTACAAATTTTTGCAGCCCAATTTGTTAGACACGTTATGAAGAATCTTTGCTATATACATTTGTGGGCTATGAAATTCTTGTTTTGATTTGCCCATCTTAATAATACCGTTTTTGTCTGCGACCCTTTTTTATGACCAATGGAAGCCAAACATGAGAGAATAACGCTATTTAACCGTTTATTATATCTAAATCCATGTGACAGGAATATTTTTCCCCAAATGAAGTTCATCCATACTTGTAAAGAACAACGCATAGATCACGATAGCTCGCGGTGAAATATGAGCCCCTTTCATAGGGGAAAGAGCTACAAACAAAATCAGTCAATATTTCAGATTGTTGAGACAGGTAAGGAAACAACACTTGTTTAAGGCCAGCCATGGATTTTCAATCCGATTTTAAACAAACATGAACTAACTTTCTCAAATTGCTTTGTCTCCCTTGTGCAACAAATAGTAAGTTATTTGTTTTTTGAGAGTTTCATTTACCTTCCAAAACTTGGACCCACATGACAGTGCCAAGTACCTTTCATTTGGATATCGCACTGTTCCTTCAGCCTTCGTGCAAGCGTCTGAGGGTAGTTGGCCTCTTTGTCCTGAATAACATCGTTGAAAATCTGCATAACACGCTCCCTGGTTTGGGGACTCATATCGCCTCCACTACTTTTAATATCTTGCATTTCCATGTTTGCTGTGAAAACAGAGTGCTATCCTAGTCCGCCGTTAAAGCATTATAGACAAACTTTTACGTTAATGCC